TCTGGCCATTTCCTTGCATTGCAGGTTCTACTGGATTGGAACTTAACCTCCTTTAACATGGTTAGTCTTGCCAAGCATAGTCTCTATGTTTTCATTGTGTTCTACTCCAATAAACCTTTGTCTTGTTTTCTTGTTCACTCCATTTTTTATCCAAGTAGTTAGTAACATTGTTCCACCGAGTGAGCCAAAATTGTTGGTCTGCACAAGAATTTCTCCAGTAATTGATAAACTCAATTCTTTCAACGATTGTTAGATGTTGGGGTTTTTCAACTGTCTTATTTCAAGACTTCTTTGGACGATCATAATTAACAAATTCAAAGTAAATAAAATAATAATCAAGAGATTAAAGATAAAGACGGAAAACTTTTTTATTAATTTGAAAGGTTTATGGGTCATAAAAGACTGATTAAATAATCTCTAAAACTAATCTACTCTACTAAAATTATTCTTAGAAATGTCCAAGTCATAAGTCTTTGATAAAGATTGATCGTATTTTCTCTTTGCAATCCATGCCTCTTTTGTAAGGTCTCTCCACCGATGATTACATTGACTTCTTCAGACAATTTCTCGATTTTTCTCGTTTAATTGTTACTTTTCAAATTTTAGAGCTCATTAAGTATTTGATTAACGACTGTCTTTTTAAATTTCATAATAATTGTTCATTCATTCCATCACAAGAGTTATAATTGTCCTTGAATTTGAATAAGCCACATCAACTAACTCTAAATCTTCTTCTTTTGATTAAATGAATGTCACATGATGATCTTTTTGAGTGACTCGTTCTTTGGTTAAAATTGTAAAAAAATTAGATCATATTTTTACGGGTTAATTATAAATTATATCTCAAAAGATCGTTTGAATCTTAATTTTCAATTTTAAATATAGAAATTTAGAAATTTGTATCAATGCGCACCTAAAACTAACAGCCGCCAATTTTGCAATCTAAAACTAAATGGATAAATTATTACACCTAAATTTCTCATACTTGTCACCTAATTATTTGGACCTCTTCTCACATTTAGAATATTACTCCTACACCGTTTGATATTTGTACACATGTAACACATAACTCCTTCTCGTTAATATCTATTAATATAATCGTTAAAAATATGATTTCATCATAATAAAAAAGTATAATTTCATACTACCATTTTATTTTGTGGACCCGTTGTAATCTAAAATGAAAAATTAAGTATATCATTTGAATGTCCAATATAATGTAGGTATTTATATAATGTTTTTAAATCTAATATAATACATCACTTAAACATAATTATTTAAAGCTTAGTTAGGAGAACATTTTTAATCATATTTGGATTCTCAATGGTATATGGTGATAAATGTTTATGTGTAATATTTTAAATGTGAGGAGTTTAAGTGATTAACTGACAAACATGAGAGAGTTTAGGTGTAATTTATCCATTATGACAAATTCATCGTGCTTGAAGTATACATTAATACAAATTTTTATGTTTGAGAATACAAATTAAAATTTTTTATAATTTCAAACAATCTTTCACAATACAATTTGAGATTAAGCTTATTTTTGTATGTCAATGGTATTCAAATTTAATTTATTAATATAATTTGTTCAACTAATTTTCCGACCCCAAGCCTATCGGCAACCTACTCACAGTCTATAAGCAAACATCAGCTTCAAAATTTTGCGGCGACAAAACCATTTCGAATCGACTAAGTTCTCTCATCTATTTTGAACACAAAAGCACTGATTCAAGATCAAATCATTCCATGGCTTCGATCATTTCCAGCGGTTTTTCCTCATCTTTACCCCTACCAGTTTTGATCGTACCTATACCAAAAGGAATTGGTGGATCTGTTACTTTCGGTAGGTGTATTTTGCAATGATTTTGATTGATTTGCCTTTAAATCAAATTTATGCTCCGCATCATTGTTTCTCGCCCATATGCTTTGCCAAATCGACGCTGCTATTGTGTGCTGCAAGCAAATTCTAAATCGAAACTGATTTTTATTTTTTGTTTCTGTTTCTGTTTCGATTTTCAATTTTGATTTCGAGAAATTGGTTTGCAATTACATACCGTAAGGATATTGGGTATAGAAAAACTCTGCATCTCACAATCCTTAGTTTAACAATATCACAATCGTTGTTGGTGGCGGAGGAAGATTTTTGATAAAACTTGCGCCATTTGGTTTTGGATTGGTTTTGACGTGCAAGAACTGCGGTGGTTGTGCGCATCGCGGTGGTGGTGGGCTGTGGTGATTCAATGGTGTGTTGTGGTGGTGCACAGTGGTGATTTAATTTTAGTAGGTAGTAGTTGGTGATTCGGTGGTGGTGGTGCAGAGTGGGTGCAGTGGTGTGGAGGAGACGTGATGGTGATGATTCAGTGATGGTAGTGAAGCGAAACTAAATAAATGGGAAAGAATAGATGAAGTTCATTTAGAGGGCTAGAGGGTATGATGGTCCTTTCGCCACTGTAATTGATAGTGTTAGCACTTACCTCTCTCTCTCTCTCTCTCTCACACACACACACACAGTTTGTGGGTTTAATTTTTGTAAATGACAAAACAGGAAATGTAAACGTGACAATATTCACCTTCAATTTGATGGTCATCTGTATTTCCAAAATCTTACTTGGATAGAAGGCAAAAGTCCCTATTTCTTAATCCATCATTCCTATGAGAGAGAGAGAGAGAGAGTATGTGAAGTTAGCTGTATATCCAATGGTTAAATGTGTTACCATGACGACCATAGTTTTTTGTTTTCAAATAGATATGATGACATTTGGCTAAGATAATCAAGTATTTGATAGGATAATCATGTGTCACACTTCGTCTTGGTGAGATTCGACCTAAACTATACAAAAGTCACTACTTTGAACAAATCAATTATATAAAAGCAATTATAATATTTTCTCTTTGCTTCATGGAGAACTTTGTGCAATATTCGAAGTTTTGTGACAATCTCTTGCCTACATTTTCACCAATAGATATGTATTTTGAGCATCTCTATGCTTATATGCATTGTCTTTTTTTTAACTAGCTTACCGTTTGGCTTCTCTAATTTTTTTTAACATGTGTTTTTGCAAGATGGGAGAACTTAAGAAATTGGTTGAAGAGGGAAAAATAAAATACATAGGTCTATCCGAGGCCTCACCCTCAGCAATTAGAAGAGCACACGCTGTTCACCCAATTACAGCTGTTCAGCTGGAGTGGTCTTTGTGGGTAAGAGATGTGGAGGAAGAAATAATTCCTACTTGCAGGTTGGGCATTTTTTCTAATTGCATATATGATGAGGGAGTGATAAGAGCTTGATTTCATGTCCTCACAATCCAAAAGTTTAAGTAATTCAATGAAGAATCAATCGAGACCTTATAGTCTCATATGGCACCCTTAGTCTCTTACCCAACTGCTGTGGTGATGGACTGGGGCAATCCCACGTCGGAAATCTAAAAGTGTGTCTGTGGGTTATATGGATACTATGCTATATCTGTTTTTTAAGTAGCTTGTAGTTGTCCTCTGATCAAAAAAACTGCTGTGAGATATGACATTCTAATTTCATCCCTCCTATAATTTTCAGGGAACTCGGTATTGGGATTGTTGCTTACAGTCCTCTAGGACATGGATTCTTCTCATCAGACCCAAAGCTGCTGAAAAACTTGCCGGATGATGACTTCCGGAAGGTTTGTCCATGTACCATGTGTCTCTTGATTTCAAAATGAGTGCGTCAAATATCAGAGTTTTAGTTTTTTTGTTTGCCCAAGACTTACTAACTTAACAACCTAAAGAAGCGCAGATGTGTTAAGGAATAATCAATATAGCAACTGAACATCCTCTAGTCAATGCTTTCTCATTGGTGTGTTTTTGGGTATTTTAATTTTCTAGAATACACCACTTGTGTTACACATGAACAAATTCAAATTTTGAAAATTTTCATGAAATATATATGAAAAAAAAACATAAAATAGATGTTTGATTAAGTTAAATAACATCTTATATTTTTATTATCAATACTACGATGTAAATTTATAATGGTTATTTTAGGTAGCATGAAAAAAAAATTCATAGTCTGTATTTTAATTCTAAATGATATTGTTGTCTTAATTATATTTTAAGTGTAACATACTGATTCCAAAAAATTTCCAACGTATAGATATTACAAGCTTCTGTACTCCTTATTATTGTTTATTATTTCATTATTTCATTAAAATTAAATATATATATATATATATATATATATATATATGAATGAAAGGTTGTTTATGCCTTATTGAATTATTTAGTGATGGTAGTGGTGTTAAGTAATATTTTATAGGTATGAAGGAATATTTATGTCTTTTTGAGTTACCAAGTGATAATAATGTCATTACCTATTTTAATAAGGGTGTATTGGTTAATCAAGAAATGTTCAAGCTAAGTGACTCTTATTAATAGTGTAGACATAGGCATAGATATAGATATTGATCTATTTTATTTTAATGCATTCCAATATTATTTAAAAGCAATCTCAGTGTAATTGAAATGCAACCCCTTCCCAAGGAAACTACTTATCTATCCATAAATTTACTAACACATGTTTATAAACTTAGATATCTAACATAATATGAGGGCCTCAAGATCATATATGGCACTTGCTCCATTGGAGAAACAGAAGTTAGTGCTTTACTATGACTAGAAATCATCTTTCTTGTGCTATCAATGCATCCTGAAGCACGTTTACTTGCGAAAACTGATGTCCGCATGGGTCCTTTTGTATAGTTAGTCCAAAATCTTAACCATGAATTTTGTATTTCTTCTTTTTTAACAGAATCTGCCGAGGTTCCAACCTGACAACCTTGAATATAACACAAACATGTATGACCGGGTTCATGAAATGGCAGTAAAGAAGGGATGTACCCCATCTCAGCTAGCATTGGCTTGGGTTCATCACCAAGGGAACGATGTGTGTTCCCTTCCGGGTACGACTAAGATTGAAAACCTCAACCAGAACATTGCAGCTTTGTCTGTTAATCTTACACCTGCAGACATGGCTGAGCTCGAATCCATTGCTTCAGCTGATGCAATCAAGGGTGAAAGGTTTCCATCTGATCTTTTTACATGGAAGAATTCAGACACTCCACCATTGTCCTCGTGGAAAGCTTAACCAAGATGTGCTTTTAGTGTGCTAATACTGTGTCGTTTGGTTTTGAAGACTTGCCGTGTTCTTGTGCTTTAGTATTGTTTCAAATCTATGATGATATTTGGCCCTAATAAAGACTCTAAATAATATGATGTCTTGTCATTTGGGTTTCAAATTTAGTTCTAAAATTTGGTCAACATAGCATTACTCTGCATGCAATTATGATCTCATACAGGATTTTCTGAAATTCCAAGAGGCATGAACTGGCATTCCTAATAAATAGAGATATTTTCAATGAAATTTCTCTGTTTTATGAATTTTTTTACGTATTAAAATTTGGACAAATTAAAATTCGATTCGAACCAATTAAAATTTGTTTTTAATCAATTCGGATCAAATTTTAATTAACTCGCACTGAATTTTAATCGATCCGAATTTTGATATGTAAAATAATATAAATTTTAATCGACTCAAATTTTAATATGTAAAAAATAAATTTTAATTAATTTGACTTGAATTTTAATAAGTAAAAAATTATAAATTTTAATCGGTGCTAATGGTTCAGGTTAAGCTCAAATCGACTCAAATTTTAATACGTAAAAAAAATAAAATTTAATTAGGTCAAATTTTAACATGTAGAAAAACGAATTTTAATCAACTCACAATTTAATATGTAAAAAATGAATTTTAATTGACTTAAATTTTATGTAAGAAGATTGTTTCGGATTTATGTAGGGGCAATTTTGATATTTTAGATGAATTTTTTTTTGTTAGAAATAGTGATTTATGGCGAGGGGTGTCCGTGATATCTAAATATAAACTAGAAGATGTATCAGTGATATTTTAGATAATAGAGACTATGTCCTTAAAAAAAGTGTCACCGAAATTTTTCCAAAAATTTTTTTTTGCCCATAGTTTCAGTTGGCTCTGCGAAAATTTTTAAGATTTCATTTCCAAATATTACAAAACATTCAAAAATATGGGGATTTTGATTTTCAATCGCTGGTTCAAAATATTTTTCACTGAAGCTAAAGTTTTTTGTTGTGATCTCGTTGAATCATAAGTGTTGTTGCCTGTGTTCCAGGACAAGTTCTCTCACAGTTTGAGAGACAACATCACCCAGTTTGGGTTGACAATGTTCAACAAGTAGGAAGCTGCAGTTTCTAAATTATTACTTTGAGTAGAATTTCTACTTTCTAGGCTTGATATTAATGATCCCTTCCATTTCTCTTCATTTTAATTCCCTTCAATACAGGTGACATGGGTAAGATTTTAAATTTCAATGGACAAGATTTTTTTCTTGAGACAAAATTCCTTAATAATGTTAGAGCAATGCCACAAAATTCAAATGAAACTCAAAAAGTTGGAATCCAAATACATATCATTCCTTAAATGAGTGGGTCTTTTCAATTTTTTCAGTGGAACTCACTCATCCAATAGATGATATGCATTTGAATTTTAACTTTTGAGTTTCATTTGGGTTATGTAGCATTTTCTATAATGTTAACATTCTATCAACAACAAAATGAATGAGGCAATATCGTATCTATTTAAATTCAAATTCTTACACATGTTACTTATCTAGCACTGTACTAAAAGAAATTAAAGGAAATGAGTAATAAAGGAGATCTAAATCGATATTAATATGCCCACTCTTATGTGGTATATATAAAAAAAAAATCATAACAAGTATAGTTTAACTATCTTTTTTGTTAATAAGTGCGGACAGATACTTTTTAAGGTTTTAAGTACATGAATATACAATATATAAAGTACAATATACAATAGCAAAAAAATGTACAATATATAAGGTGAGTGGTCCTAAGTTGTTACTCTTAAAAACTTTTAAGGGTAAAATGTAAAAAATCTCTATGTTCTAAGTTTTGATCTTACTTCACCTCTCTCTATTTTTGTGGTTTCCACTTAACTAGGGATGACAGTAGACTGGGGCGAGACGACAGGAATAGTCTCCACCTCGTACCCAATTCAAAAATATTCGTTCACTGTCGGTCCACCACCGTTAGCGGGGAAAATTTTAATCCTCGTCCTTGTCCCGCGAGTAAATTTTGATCCTCATCCCCGCCCGACGGGTAAATTTTGATTCTTGTCCCCGCCACCGTCTCCACCCATAACAATTAATTTCTATGATTTTAAGAAAAAAAATTTAATAAAAAACATAAAACCTTACAAATGGATTGGCAAGAAAGATGAAAATTAATTATATAACAAATAGATCAAACATAAAAACTCATAAAAATAATAGGTATAACAAATGTGTATTTTACTTAATTATTTTATTTGTTTTATATATATGTTACGGGTTTAGTAGCGCGGATTTCAATTAATCCTCGCCTCCATCCCTACATGAGTTTATACGGGTATTCTCGTATATGTCTACCGTCCAATTCGTATAGTCCATCCCCAGTCCAAACAAGGGCGGTTTGGATGAATACCCTTTTTAACCGGTCCATTGTCATCCCTACACTTCACCCCCTCCAACTTGTGAACAAACTGCGGATGTTACCAGAGGTAACAATTCAAAACTATTCCCTAATTGCAATCAAATTTTTTTTGTGATGTCATCATTGTAGAATCGTTATCTTTAAAAAACAACACCTACAAATTGCAAATGACCTGGTTAGGCTTATTTTTCCATGAGAACTCCATTGGTGTGGTTAGATTTAAGTTCATATTGTGTGTGTGCTAAAATTTGTGTTTGAAACTTAGTGATAATTGAATTTTTAAATGGGTTACATAACAAATGACCATTTCTTCCTCAATTGAGACTTGAATTGTGTTATGATGCTGTAATACAGTGTATTAGAGTGCTTAGAAGTCATGGATGAGGTGTGTGTATGTGTGTGTGGGTATTTGGTGAAAAAACCCGCTAGAGTTTAGAAACTTGAAAAACAAAATTTTAAAAAACTTATTAAAGCTTAAAAAAGGGAGTTGGGTCTAACTAATTTTGGTCAAAGAATTCAAAAATGACCTTAGAGTTGAGAAAACAAGTCGTTAGATGAGTCAAAAACGAATTTGTAGGTCTGGAGAGAGATGGAGAAGGAATATGAATAGTAAAATTGAAAATTTAATTTTTTAATTTAGGAAAAAATGATTTATTTTATAACATGGACTTAATTAGCACGTATAATTACCATGCCGTTACAATAAAAGGTTTACGTTAGATTTACATTTTGTTTACAAGTTAGAAGAGGTTAAGTGAAACCAATAAAAGTAAAGAAGGTAAAGTGAGATCAAGGCTTAATATAGAAATTTTTTGACATTTTACCCAATTTTTAATGATAAGAATACCCCTTATGTTTATTAGCGTACATTTATGAGTCTCATTATTTTTCTCTTTCGTCAATTATTATATCCCTCTCTTTCCTCTAGGGATGACAATGGATCGGGTAAAAATAGGTATTCATTCAAACCCGCTCTATTTGGATCGGAGATAGGTCATACGTATTGTACGGTAGACGTATACAGGGATACCCCTATAAACCCATGTGGGGATAAAGGCGAAGATGGACTGACACTTACCCCAGCCTTGCCTTCGCCCAGCCCCTTCCCGTCCCGCTTTATCTGTTATTATTATTATTGTATATATATGTACATGTTGGTGTGAATACAAATATACATATTATTGAATGATTTTTTTTTTAAATTGTTTTTTTTTTTGATTTTTTTTTTATTGTTTTACCTTGTAAAAGCGTAAATCTTTGTATTTTATATGTTTTTATGTTAGATTATGTTATGTTACATTATGTTGTGTTGCATGATATTGTGTTGGATTTACAAGGGGGATAAATTTTTAATTATATTATTTTAGGTTATGTTGTAGACAGTGTTTTAATTATATTATGTTGTAAATAACAAATTTTTAATTATATTATTTTAGGTTATGTTGTAGACAGTGTTTTAATTATATTATGTTGTAAATAACAAATTTTTAATTATGTTATGATATTATATAATTATGTTAGACTATTTAAAATATTAGATTTATTTATAATTTTGGATTATGTTGGCTTTGACTTGGGCTTGGGTGAGTAAGGCGGACGTGGGTAAGGGCGGAGGTGAAGGCGGGGGACGGGGCAGGGGCAGAAATCACAAATTTACCCGCAGACAGGGATGAGGATGAAAACTATACTCGTTAATGGGGATGGACAGGGGATAAACAAAATTTTTTTAAGCGGGTACGGGGATGGAAACTACGCACCCCGCCCCCGCTTCAGTCCACTGTCATCTTGACTCTCCTCTCTCTTCTTTTGATCTTGTTTAAATTTCACTTTCTTCTTTTTATTTTGTCCCAACTATAGTAACATAGTCACATTGACACAACCATAATCTATATAATAAAGTACAATACAATTCAAATTTTAAAAAATAAATAAAATGACTTTTATTTTTCACGATTAAAATCTCTTTATATTTTATTTTAAAGTTAATCTGATAGTTAATATTAACACCTCAAATTTAATGTAAAAATAAGCTCTTAAAGGTATGTTTGGAGTTATTTTTTAAAAGTGTTTTTATGACTTATAACTTCTCATAAATACTTCCAAAAAAAAAGTAGTATTTGATATTATCTCATAACCACTGTCACCATCACCCTCATCACCCCACCACCATCACCATTACCACCACCACCGCCACCTCTGCCACAACAACCACCACCAGCACTGCCCCCATTACCACCGTCGCTACTACCACACTACCCCCACCACTACGTCATTATACCCACTACCACCACCATCACCACTGCCTCATTGCCCTACCACCACCTCCATCAGCACTACCACAACCACCGTTGCCGTCGCCAACGCCACCCCACCCCACCCCACCACCACCTTTGCCATAACCACCACCGCCACCACCACTACCATCGTCGCCGCCACCATTCCACCGCCACCACTCCTCCACCACCACCCTCAAGCACCCCTACCCCCACCACCTCCATCGCCACGATCACCCAACCCCCACCCGTACCACTGTTGCCACCACATCTGCCACAACAACCACCATTGTCGCCACCGCCATCACCATCACCATCACCCCTTGTCAGCCCACCATCACCATCACCCCCACTGTCGCCACCCTACCACCATTGCCATTACCCCTACCACCACTGTCCCACCATCACCCTTATGACTATCACCACTACCAGCACTGTCGTCGCCACCCCACGATTACCATTGTCGTCACCTAACCATCACCACCACCATCGCCGTCGTCACCCCACCACCACCACCACCATCGCCACCTTCATCACCCACCACTGCTACCACCCCTTGTCACCCACACCCACCACCATCATCACGATTGTCATTCGTCATCATCCATCACACTATAGTCCAGAAACACCCATTGTCGTTCACCATCACAACTGTCGTCGCCCCACAACCACCACTACCAACCACCACCACCATCGTCATTCATGACTACCACTACCACTATTATCACCCAAAACCAACCACCACCATCACTGTTGCCACCTATGGCTGCCACCATCACCACGATCGTTGCCTCCCACCACAACCATCACCATCTCCCACCACCACCACTGTCGCCCATCACCACTCACCTCTATTCCAATTAGGGTTTAAATTTTTTTCTCTCTCTTCTATATTTATAATTTGATTTTGGATATAAATAAAAATATATTTATTGTTGATCATTTTTTTTATTACTCTGTGTCTTTAGACACAGGTAATAACTAGTGACACAATATAACCCTTATTTTATCACTAATTTATCGCCTTTGTCTACATGTGTCTATTTGTATGTGTGTGTATATATATATACTTTCAAATGGGAAACAAATCTAAAATCTTTGTTGAAATTTATGTGAGAGAGAGGAATGCGCGGGAGAGAATTTTTAGGAGATCTTTGTTGATATATTTGACCAATATCCTTATTTTTTTTACCAAAATCTCACAGTTACCATTTTTTGAAAATAAATGTGATCTGAAAAATCCTTTCAAATTGGAAAGAAGATATTCTAAAATTTTAATGCACTTTTGAAATTGACTTTGACATTATACTTTCTCAAGTTAAGTATATGGCAATAAGGATACATTAGTCTTTTATGACATCTATCGTACTAAATGATCCAAAAGAAAGGCGTCTGAACTTTATGGACAAAAAGATCTCTGTGTGGGACCAGCATCCGATTTCTCCAAAAAAAGAGACCTAAGAAAATAACACTTACTATTTTCACATTCTCAATTTATATCTATAGAAAATTTAAATTTTTGTATTACATTCTTAATCAAATTAAAAGGTAGCAACGTGGTTTACTATAAGAAAATTGAGTACAAAATTTTTATTCAAATACTGTGTGTATAGAAACACTATAATATGACAAATGCAACAAAAATATTTGTCGGGAAAGACTATGAAAATTTAGTTCTTAACTATATTGTTGCTTTTTTATCTGATAAAGGGTACAGTAAAAAAATATTAATCTTTTAAAGTATTAATGGAAAAGTGCAAAATGTCATTCACCCAAAATATACATACTATTGAATTTACGAGATTGAAAACATCAAAACTTATATTTGCTAATCTTACTGACATTACAGGCAATTAGAGAGTGTCTTTAAGAATTAGAATGCATGATATTGTGATGATCCATTGTTTATACTTTATAGCTCTTTCTTTTTTTATTTTCTTGACACTCCCTATGCATGGTCTCTGAACTTTGACATGGAGTCCTAAGCAATGTTATCAAAATCGGACCGGTCATTAAACTCACAAGGAGATCAGGTCAATGGTTTACTGATTCAACCGTTGAGTTAATTAGTCAGACCGGTCATATAATAATAAAATATATAAATATTATAAAATATAATAATTTACCTATAATGCATATAATTTACCATAAATTAATAATAAAGACAAATGGCAACATCATATGTTTGCCTTTAAAATTGATGAATAAATGTTTGATCAACTCGCAGACACGTTTGTTTGATCAGCTGGCATACACTAAGAGAGAGAGAGAACTGTGAGTGAGAGAGGCTTGAAGCTTGAAACCTACTGTGTTGAAGGCTTGAAGCTTGAAGCCCACTGTGTTGAAGGCTTGAATTATTTCACTTTCCGTTTAATATATAACGGAGATTAATAATTGAGGCGATGCAAAACTATTCTACTAATTGAGGTCGTAATGTGAAAAACATGACAGATAGTTGCGAGGGTCAAAATGTATTCTGTTCATCTCCTTAACATAAATCTAAGGAGATCAGATTACTGTGTCTTAACATTCAGATTCTTCTCAAACTATTCGAGCTGCACGTGTGGAATTATGGAAGCTTCCAATTCATTTCTTGACAATACTTCCATGGAGAGAGAGAGAGAGAGAGAGAGAGAGAGATTAAAAATAAGCAAGCCTATATTGTAAGCCAAGGAAAGAACAAAATAAATCAAAGCAATGTGAATATAAGGGACAACTGATGTGATCCTAATTTTAACAAAAACTACTTACCGAAAATAAAACTTTTAACAAAAAACATGTTGCTTCGGTAGCTTCTGCTGTTTATGCCCTAGAAGAGTTTGCATCGCTTGTTTTCGTGAAGTAAGCATCCCATTTATGATCTTCCATAGTCCCAGACCAGTAATACTTCCAACTAAACTGTTCAGGAAAATCAAAACTATAACTCTTCCCCTGCTCCATATCTCCCCTAATTGTCTCTACCCTCTCAAGAACTCTCTTAACTGCTATATCAAATGCATCTTCAAGGTCAAAGCTCTCCAATCTAGACCTTGGATCAGCATATATAACTCTGGGAATCAACCTTACAACCTCCTCCCTCATGGCTGACGCTTCATCTTCTGATATTCCAAGCAATATATTCTCAATGTTGGCTTTCTTATCTCTGATGTCATTTTCTGATATAAAAACAGAATATTTTGTGTAGTTCTTTGGTAAATGCCATATATATTGGATATAAGCAGTACCCGGATGGAAGAAAACTGGAATACACCCAGCCAAAATCGAATCGAAAGTTGATCTTCTAGTGTATGAATCACCCGGGGGCTGTAAGCAAAATATAGAGCTTTGAAACATTTTCATCACATTAACTGGATTGTGACAGTTGTTTGTAATACAATCTAGCAATTTGCATGTTCCCTCTGACACCAAGCATTGCTCAATAATCTCACTCCTGATAGAAGATTTAAGATTAGGCCTAGAGGCACCGACGAAAGAGAACAAGTACTTCCTTTTCTGTTCTCGCACCTTGTTCTGCCACTGAATTACCTCAATGTTGCTTGAAGGATGGAAATAAGTCGGGTATGGAATCGCGAAGTCCTGGTTGCTCCAAGGGCTTGATTCTATGGTTAACATCGTCATGTTCCGAATTTCAGGTAGTGATGCAAGTTTGTTACCCCAACCAGACTCATCATCATCCATTCGCCTTCTGAAATCCCAAGTGATCCTTCCTGCCACAAAAAAATGATCTCTACCCCTCAATCTTTTCCATTCAGGTTTTCCACTGAGCCACTTGACCAAATCCATGGCATCAAAATCTCTCACTGATGTGTTAAAACCACCCCATAGGTATCGACCCACGTCGAGGCCAGCATAAAATGGCACATAAATTGCAGAAGCAATTGATGAATCATTAGTTAAGCACTTGTACTGCTTCATTCTATTGTGGAAAATGATTTCCAGCATGAATTGGTTCGTTGCAAACCAATTTTTATTTTGAAGAACCACATCACAATTTCTAACCTGAGGACCAAGACCCAAATTCATTATGGCCCCACACATATCAATCCATTTATTGAGAGATGAACAATTTTTGAGAATGTCACCATTGAATCTGCTTGGAAGATTATGGATATATATGTATCGACCCGAACACAAATCCGAACAAAATGGTGATGGACTATTAATTTCACTGGAATTTTTCGTAAGGCTGTGAGAATTAAAGCCTTGGGAAAAGATTAAGTTGGGAAACAAGGATTGGCCATTGTTGACTTCAATAAAAGACGAATAGTGGCGGCAAAGCACCAAAACTAGAGAGGAAACCAAGAACACACACCAGTATTGTTTGTTGCAGTACTTGTACTTTCCATCAATTATTGGCTTCTCCATGCGGTTTTTATAGGCCTTCATGCAAGAAAATCTGTAGTGGGTCATCAAACTTGTACTAAAATCTTTGATCAATGAAGTTCACTGTAACTCTCTACACATAAACACAACAGTAAACACACACAGCGAGAAAAAGAGAGGAGGGGGGGGGGGGGGGGGCTGCTTTTCTTGCGTAAATGGTGGAGGAGGCATTGAAGGCCAGAAGGATTTAAGGTTTACTTCCATATATAGAACCTTCCTAAATGTTACATTCTATACGTACGTTGATAGCAAATCAATTCTTTTTAATAGCTTGCTTGTGTGAATGCCAAGCAAGTGCCATCCCCATGGTAATGTACAACCCCTCAATCTCATATCCGTTGGATTTGTGAGAATATACCTTAAATTATGTAGGAAAAGCTAGTAAATGGACCCATACTATCACCATCAATAATAAACTAACTGAAAGGGTTAAACTTCATGATTATACGTGACATAGCATTAAATGTGTTCACGTGATGTTGATAAGACCAGACACGTTATGAAAGATCCTCTATTAGAGCTTTCTAACCAAGCAGAGCTAATTAGAGGTTCGGCAATAGCTAAAAAAAATCAGTTCTTTTCATGACCGAACTCATCAGTCTTTTCGGTTAAGCAATGAAAGAGCTCGGCTTGTGCCAAGCCGAGTCTGTTAAAGTATTCAGCAAGGCAATTGAAGAGATCGGTTTATGTCAAACCAAGTCCTTTAATCTGTTTGACAAATATCAAGTGTGTTCGGCGTCTGATATATCCAAGTTGTTTTAGATAAACCGAAGGATAAAGATACGTCTATAACTTAGGCAATCAGATAAGCGAATCAGAGAAATAGAAGATATTAAGAAAAAATAATGGAGATATCAACAACTTCCCAAACTGAATGACTAAATTGAAGAAAGGTGTGCCACCTTGAACCTAAATTCATGGAAACCCTAAGGGGAGAATGATCTATAAAAAGCAGAAGAGACCAAGGTGAAACGTAGGCTGAACCCTCCTTACTGACTTAAGCATTGGAGTGCCTTCGCTTGAAGCACTTCGATCTTGGGCAGTGTATTGGTTTTGCAGGAAGAGGAAGATTGGGAGATCAAGTTCAGAAGCCCAAAAATATTTCAATTCCAGTGGGAGGTAATCTCAATTTTTTGCCTCTTACATTTGGCGTCGTCTGTGGGAAAATTTTCATCTTTTACAACCAGAAGCCACGATGTCTAAATTCAGAAGCGCAATCGGTTCACCTAGAGGCAGTTTTGCCTTGAGAGACTCCAATCCTGCATCCATCCCACCTGGAAGCAACGCACGATTTCAAGCAAGAGGAAGCCTTTCTAAATCCCATGAAGGCGAAGATATGTCTTTTGCCAGTTTCAAGCCCTCAAGGAACCAGAACCATCAAATTGAAGATCATGGTGAATCCCTCCGTGCCGAGGGGGAAAACTACTCACTGGTGAAGTTGGTTCAGTCCCTGCAAGACAGACTCGATGCCCACGATAAGTTGTTCAAAAAGTCTTATGCCAGGGAAAAAGATTTGATCAAAGAAAACGAAGAACTCAAAACCCGAATAAAAGAGTTGACCAGGAAAGAGAAACGTGCGAGGGAAAGCATTGGTAAAGTCCTGAAAGGAAACTCGACAAATACAGAAGCAACAATGAAGATCGTCATCAGCAGAAGAAACCTCGGGTTCAAGAAGAAGTTGCATGGAAGCAGTATATTACCGAGGACCTTAACAACCGTTTGAGGAAACTAGGACAGAGATCGGCTAGGGATTTGGCAAGAAGAGCAACAAGAGAATATGGAGATGATTCGGAGTCATCTCCATTTACAGTTTGGATTGAAAAGGGATGGATTCCAAGCAAGTTCACTGTCCTGAACTTCAGACTATATGATGAAAATATAGACCCAGCCTCTCATATCAGGCATTATAGACAGCTGATGACCATTCATCGAAAAAATGAGCCCCTACTCTGCACCATCTTCCCTAGCAGTCTTGGGGAATCAGCCATGAAGTGGTTTGACAGCCTGCCAAAGGGAACTATCGATGGGTGGTCCCAGTTAGCTGAACAGTTCACAGTTCGGTTCATAACGAACAGCAAGCAGCCGAAGGATGTTGGAGCACTTTTGACGTTAAAAAAGAAGAATAATGAAAGCTTGCGAGAGAATGCTCATCATTATTGGAAAACTATGAATGAGGTTGAAGGGTGCATTCCAGAGATTGCAGTTGCATCCTTCAAGATCGGGCTGCCGAAGGAGAACCCCCTATATTAGTCGCTCACAAGAAGGCCAACCACAGATCTGGAAGAGTTGATGTCTAGGATTGAAAAGTATGCCAAAGTCGATGACGACTTATCCACGAACGGGGTTAAAGAACATCCGAGTAAGAAACAGTTCAGTAGAGACAAGCAGACCGAGCCAAACAGAGAGGGAGGAAGGAAGAATGAGAAGGGGGGATATCCTCAGAAGTCCCCATTTCTGGGAGTAAATACATTATTCAAGGAACCAATATACAAGATACTAAGCCAGATCAAGACAAAGTCATTTTTCAAATGGCCGAGGAGATCCGTCTAAAAGGAATCCGAACTTCAGGTGTTCATATCACAGGGATGTGGCCCACATGACTGAAAACTGCCGATCTCTGAAGCAACATTTGGAGGAGCTGGTCCAGGCTGGACATCTCGTCGAGTTCATAGAAGGTAAAAAAAAATCCGGTGGAGGGAGAATTGAGGCAACTGGGGACCACAACACTCCAGCAGGGGTGATTGATGTGATCCATGCTGCCACCAACCCGTAGATGTTCACAAATAATTACACTCAAGCTTACATCCAAAAAGCTGCCACTGAGAGAGAGGTGTATGAGTTGCGGTTAACCCTAGAGGTGACCAGTAAAAGAATTAAGATAGAGGAGTCAGCCGAAGAATTCTGTTTCACCGAGTAGGACTTGGTCGGAGTGCACCAATGGCACAATGACGCCCTAGTTGTTACGCTTCGAATTATGAACTTCGATGTAAGAAGGGTGTTGATTGATCCGGGGAGTTCATCAAAGATCATGTATTCGGATCTATTTGAGAAACTTGGACTTAGAAAGGAGGATCTCAAGCCTTCAAATACTCCACTTATCAGATTTAGTGGAAAAACAGTTATATCTAGGGGGAAGATCACATTGCTTGTTAAGACAGGACCAGTTTGCATCATGACCGAGTTCCTGGAGGTAGATACGGTCTCTGTGTATAATGCGATAATGGGATGGTCCTAGCTATATATAATGAAGGCAGTACCCTTAACGTACCACCAGATGCTGAGGTTCCTTTCAACTGAAGGAGTGGTCAATATCTGAGAAGACCAGGTCAGTGCCAGGACTTGCTTGTTAGCCTCGGTCAAACTGAAAGGAGGAATTGAAGCGCGTGAGAATAACTCAATGCCCGAGGAGGCGAAATAGCAATTAACCTTTAACAGCTCGATTAAACAAACCGATCAAGCTGACGAGGAAAGCCCTAAAGTACCTTTAGGCAATGAAAAGGAAGTTACAGACTAAACAATTGAAAACTTGACTAAAGTACCTTTAGACAAGGATGGGGACCCTGAAAAGTACTTTTTGCTTGGGATTGCTCTGAGTCAGAAGCAGAAAACCATGCTCGTCACTCTTTTACGAGAGTATGCCGATGTTTTCGCATGGACCACTTCTGATATGCCCGGCGTACCATCCGAAGTAGCATTTCATCAGTTGAACGTCGACCCAAGCTTCAACCCAATCAGACAAAAATTAAGGAGGTCGGCCCCGCAACATTAGGAGGCAGTGAAAGAAGAAGTAATACGTTTATTGGAATCCCAAACAATCAAGAAAGTTAAATACCTGACCTGGCTGTCAAACACTGTTGTGGTTAAAAAGAAAAATGGGAAGAGGAGGGTCAGTGTTGACTTCACCGACCTGAACAAAGCATGTCCAAAAGATAGTTTTCCCCTACCGAAGATAGATCAGTTGGTAGACGCAACAGCCGGGCACGAGCAGATGAATTTCTTGGATGCCTACAGAGGATATCATCAAATCCCCCTTGCCGGGGAGGATCAAGAAAAGACTGCTTTTATAACGCCGGAAGGAATGTACTGTTATAGAGTGATGCCCTTCAGGTTGAAGAATGCTGGAGCAACATATCAAAGGTTAGTAACCAAAATATTTTCCCAGATGATAGATAGTACTATAGAAGTTTACATCGATGATATGGTAGTTAAAATTCAGAAGGCCACAAATCATTGTGCCGGCCTGAGGGAAACTTTCAATATTCTGTGCAAATATAACATGAAGTTAAATGCGTCTAAATGTGCTTTCGGGGTCGGCTCGGGGAAGTTCCTTGGGTTTCTGGTAACTCACCGAGGGATAGAAGTGAACCCCGACCAGGTGAAGGCTATTGCTGAACTGCAATCACCTCGGACTGTAAAGGAGGTTCAGAGGCTAACAGGAATGGCAGCAGTGCTCGAGAGATTCATATCCCAAGCATCTGATAAGTGTAGACCATTCTTTCAGTCAATCAAAGGAAATAGGGGAGCACTCTGGTGTCAGGAATGTGAGGAGGCATTTGCAAAACTAAAGGAATAGTTGGCGTCACCACCAATTCTATCCACCCCCTCCCCCTGAAGAAGAACTTTATCTCTACCTGACCATA